TTCTGCTAAAGGTGGGCCTCGGGTTTCATTCACTGTTTTGAGCTATACAAGGTGCTACCGCTGTGCAGACGACCACCAAAAGCTCAGACTTGTAAAATTTATGACAAGGCAAACATTGCATGTTACAGCTCAGAGGCTGTTTTTTGTCTTGCTGTTTGGAGACACTATGTCTCACTATGTAGTTCAGCTTGGGATTACTGGTGGGCACCACCACACTAAGCTTAGGATCTTTTTAAAATTTTTTTATGGTTTATTTAACTTTATTTTATGTGCATTGGTGTGAAGGTGTCAGATCCCCTGCAACTGGATCTTCAGACAGTTGTGAGCTGCCATGTAGGTGCTGGGAATTGAACCCAGCTCCTCTGGAAGAGCAGTCAGTGCTCTTAACCATTGAGCCATCTCTCCAGCCCCTAAGCTTAGGATCTTAAATGTACCCAAAAGTTCAGGTGTTGAAGGCTTATTTCCCGGAGCCATGGTGCTCACAAGTGGGTTTTGGGAGGTGACTGGATCATGAGAATATTCATCTTGTCAATGGATTAACCAAGCCGTTTGTGGGTTTTTGTCTAGTGGGTCGGGGTTGGAATGTTAGAAAAGCCAGGACTCTTCGCTTTCTTTGTAGCAGTTGAGCCAAGCGGTTTTCATCTCACATGTTGTGGGGAAGCCACCGGAGAAAACTGCTCGGACATGGATCTAAGCCAATAGAAAGTCTTCCTTAGCTGGCTGGGAACTAAAGTAGGTGTTCAGGATCCCAGTGTAGCACGGAGCCTTTCTCAGGGTAAGCTTTTCTTTCTTTGGTTTTTGGTTTTTTTGAGGCAGGGTTTCTCTGTGTAACAGTCCTGGCTATCCTAAATCTCACTCTGTAGACCAGGCTGGCCTCGAACACACTGAGATCTGCCTGCCTCTGCCTCCAAAGTGCTGGGGCTAAAAGTGTGTACTACCACTACCCAGCTTCAGGGTGAGATTTTAAGCACAAAACCCATGTTCTAAATTAACACACTATGCTGGGCGATGGTGGCGCATGCCTTTAATCCCAGCACTAGGGAGGCAGAGGCAGGCGGATCTCTGTGAGTTCGAGACCAGCCTGGTCTACAGAGCTAGTTCCAGGACAGGCTCCAAAGCCACAGAGAAACCCTGTCTCGAAAAACAAAAAACAAAAAACAAAAACAAAAACAAAAAAACACTAGGAAAAAAAACAAACAAAAATAAATTAACACACTTCAGTTAACAAGAAAAGTTAGCCAGAAGTGGAACTACAGAAGGCACAAAGAAAATTTAGTACATTTATAGACTTTCCCAGAACTGTGGGTTTTGATGGATTAGGTCTTTGTTTTAGTTTTGAAAGGTGGTGCTGTCTATGTGCTGAGTTTTATAGCCTGAATGGCCTTTCATCATGGAGTCAGTTGTGCTAAGGTCCAGGGGCCTATCAGGATCTAGACTCAGCTCTTGTATGCATAATATCTGGCCTTGCCACAGGCCTAAAAGCTCTGTCAAGCAATTAATAAGTCCTCCCTTGTGGAAAAAAAATTGTGTGTGTGTGTGTGTGTGTGTATGCACATGGAGAAGAGAGGACAACTTGGGTCATCAGGCCTACACCAAAAGTGTTTTGCCCAATGAGCCATTTAGCTAACCCTTTTCTGTTTTGTCTTTAAGACAATCTTACTGTGTAATCCATGCTTGCCTAGAACTTGATATGCACGTAGTTAGGACTGACCCCAAATAGCCCTCTTGTTCCAGCCTCCCAAATGCAGGCATCACAAGCCTGTGGCACCATGCCCACTCTCAGCCTTTCTTCTTTGAGTTTGTTTACCACAGGTATTTTGGCTGTTGGGAGCTAACACAGAAAACTGGTACTGAGAGAGATGTGGCTCAGTTTGGTAGAAGGCTTGACTAGCGTAAGTGGAAGCCTGGGTTCAAGCCCCAGCACCGCGTAACAGGGACTGAATGTGGAAATGCCTGTGATTCATGTACTCAGGGGTTAGAAGCAGGAAGATCAGAAGCTTGAGGTCATCCTCAACTGTGTAGTGAGTTCAACTTCAAGGCCAGCTTGGGCTCCAGGAGCTTTACTGACAGAGAGGGGGTATTTATTATAAAGGTGAGGTCTCCTCCCTGGCTCCCCTTTGCTCCACCACACACCACCACAGAGCATCTGAGCCAAGTGCATCCTCCTTACGTTGTTTATCCCATATGCTGTGCTGTGACCAGCACAGTGCACTTTGGGTTTTTTTTAAAAGACTTATTATTATGTATACAGTATTCTCGGTATTCTGTCTGCATGTATGCCTGCAGGCCAGAAGAGGGCGCCAGATCTCAATACAAATGGTTGTGAGCCACAATGTGGTTCCTGGGAACTGAACACAGGACCTTTGGAAGAACAGGCAGTGCTCTTAACCAGTGAGCCATTTCTCTAGCCCTGCACTTTGGGTTTTTGTGCACATAAAATTGAGTTTTGAAATGTCATTTGTAGGGCTGGGGAGATTTCCCGGTGGCTAAAACTGTACTGCTCTCACAGAGGACTGGAGTTTGGTTCGTAGCACCATACTGGGCAGCTCATTCCTGCCTGGAACTTGAGTTCCAAAGGAATCCGATGCCTGTGGCCTCAGCGCCTGCACTCAAAGAACAGACAGACAGACACAGAAACACGTGTGCACATGCATGCACATAGACACACACATACACACACTCTCTCTCTCTTTAAAATAGCTCTTGCCTATTTTAAAATAAATATTTAAAAGTTTTTTTTTGGTTTTTTTTTTTTTTTTTTTTTTTTTTTTTTTTTTTTTTTTTTTTTTTTTTTTTTTGTTTTTTTTTTTTTTTGTTTTTCGAGACAGGGTTTCTCTGTGGCTTTGGAGCCTGTCCTGGAACTAGCTCTGTAGACCAGGCTGGTCTCGAACTCACAGAGATCAGCCTGCCTCTGCCTCACGAGTGCTGGGATTAAAGGTGTGCGCCACCATCGCCCAGCTTTAAAAGTTGTTTTTAAGATGCCATTTAGACGAACAGTAGCATGCCTCACCAAATTCTTAGTACCAATAAATCATTCGTCAAACACAGCATACCTGAGCCTAGTTTAATGACCCCACCCAAAATACACAGCAGCACCGCCACATCATTGCCTGTGGTCAGAGCTGATCACAGTGACAGCTGGAACATCACAAACATCTCACCTGTGTGCTTGCTTTGGAAGGAAGAGCTTCCTTCCATATTTACCCTCAGAATGACCCCTAAGAACTACTCCAAAGCATAGTGTACTTTTTTTTTAAGATTTATTAATTATGAATATGTTCTGTCTGCATGCATGCTGCAGGCCAGAAGAGGGCACCAGATCTCATTACAGATGGTTGTGAGCCACCATGTGGTTGCTGGGAATTGAACTCAGGACCTCTGCAAGAGCAGTCAGTGCTCTTAACCTCTGAACCATTTCTCCAGCCGGCATAGTGTACTTTTTTCTTTCGAGACAGGGTTTCTCTGTAGCTTTGGAGCCTGTCCTGAAACTAGCTCTAGTAGACCAGGCTAGCCCCAAACTCACAAAGATCCACCTGCCTCTGCCTCCCAAGTGCTGGGATTAAAGGCGTGTGCCACCACTGCCCAGCCTGCGTAGTGGCATAGTGTACTTTTAAAGTTCCTTTTTGTTGTTGTGTTTTGTTTTTTGAGACAGGATTTCTCTGTGTAGCCCTGACTATCCTGGAACTCACTTTATGTACCAGGCTGGCCTCAAACTCAGAGATCTGCCTGCCTCTTCCTCCTAAATGCTGGGATTAAAGGTGTGACCACAACACCTGGTTTAAGAATTCCTTTTTTTTAAGCCCTGTGGTGGTGATTCACACCTTAATTCCCAGCACTTGGGAGGCAGAGGCTAGTAGATCTCTGAGTTCAAGGCTAGCCTGATCTACAGAGTCAGTTCCAGGACAGTCAGGTCTATACAGAGAAACCCTGTCTCAAAAAAAAAAAAAAAAAAAAAAAAAAAAAACTTCCTTTTTAAAAATCCTTTCTTCCATTTTTTTCTTTGCCGATAAATTCTTTAAACAGCTATTTCTTGTGACCTGAACAATTCATTTTGTCTTTCAAGTGAGAGCCTAGGCTTTACTTTATAGAGATGAGGAAAAGGGCAAGAATTTATGGCCAGCTTGCAGGTAGTGTTCTCATCACTGCCTGCTCAGTGTCCCCGTAGTTCATGCAGTCAACATCCTACTCTGGTATAAAAGCATTATGAGCAGTATAATATGGCTAGGGTCATTCATTTGTGTTTGTCCAACATGGGAGGTTCAGTCTTTTTTTTTTTTAAACTTCCTAGTGCAAAGAATCACTGGGGCCTTGTGTGTGCCAGGCAAATGTTTTTATCATTGGACTATATCCCTGGCTCTTAGGATAAGCATTTTGTTTTGCTTTTTGAAACAGGGTTTCTTATGTTGCACTGACTGCCCTGGAAGTTGCTCTGTAGACCAGGCTGGCCTCTAACTCAGAAATCTACCTACTTCTGCATCTTGAGTGCTGGTAGGCATGTGGCTCCACAGCCCAGTCAATTTTTTTAATCTTAAATTTTCTTTCTGGTTATTTCCTATTTGTTTTTATTTTTAATTTGATTTTTGTGTTATTGTATCTTGTATATGTATTTGCATATGTGTTGTGTGAGTGCGTGTGAATGGAGGGAAGGGAAACCCACTTGGAATTTGTCTTTTGAGATTCCACTCTCCTACCATTGACTGATTTCTTTAGGTGTATGATTATTTGCCTGCATGTATGAATGTGCACTGCACGCACGCCTGGTGCCTCGTAGAGGCCAGGGAAGGGTGATGGAGTTAGAGGTGTTTGTGAACCACCTGATGTGGGTGTTGCCAACTGAACTCAGGTTCTCTAGAAGAACAGAAGAACACATACTCTTAACTACTCTGCCACCTCCAACCCCTGCTTCCATAATTTGTGCTAAAGCATAGTCAAGGGCAGAGCAGCACAAACTGACATGTATTTTGTTTCCGAGACAGGGTTTCTTTGTGTGGCTTTGGAGCCTGTCCTGGAACTAGCTCTTATAGACCAGGCTGGCCTCGAACTCACAGAGATCCGCCTGCCTCTGCCTCCCCGAGTGCTGGGATTAAAGGCGTGCGCCACCACTGCAGGCTTCAAGTTGGTAATTCTTAATCCACCAGGTGTTAAGGCCTGGCTATGCTTGTACTCTGTCTCCTGGGAAAGAGAAATTATATCCAGCAGTTCCTAGGATGGGCTGGGATGCTTGTGTGCCGAACTGAGACCCGAGTTTGAGCCCGGGATCCCACAAGGTGACAGGATAGAACTGATTCCTCTGAGGCGTTCTTTGACCTCCACATGGACACCACGTCATACACATGCCTGCACACACACACTTAGACACAATAACAGACAAACACTAGTGAGGTCAGCTCCTGCTTCGGTCGGTTTCCTCTCTCCCAGGTGTCAAAGATGATCCTTCAGGGCCCAGGCAGATCAGCACTAGGCTGAGAATCCGAGAATCCAGTCTCGTCCATTTTCCTGCTACTCAGTAAATCTCGGCCTCCTCATCTGTAGAAAGTAGTTAACCTAACCGTGAACTTCCTTGGCGGAATTGCAGACACCGAATGATGGATTTGAGTGGACGAGCAAGCCAAACCCAGATAATTGCCGATCCTGAGTTCCTGAGTTCTTTGTAGGGTCCTAGGATGCGATATTTATTTTATGGACAGGGAAGCTAAGGTTCGTCATGGTTGCCAGTCTCATGTCAAGATGACTCAGGTATGGTGCCCGGATGTGGTCACACACCAGCCTGCATGCCAGTGTGACAATATGTTGTTACTAAGGGTGACATTTAGGGCTTCACACAGTAAGCAAGCACTTACACTGAGCTACATCTCCAGCCCTTGTTTTTTTGTTTTGTTTTGTTTTTTGTTTTTTTGAGATTAGAATTCCATCATTTTCCTCTTCTCTTTCCTACCTCCAATCTCTCCTATGTATGTCTCTTTATTCCCTTTCAAATTTATGGCCTCTTTTTTAAATTGTTGTTATATATTTTAAAAACATTTTATATGTATTTATGTATATATTATACATATATTTCCTAAATATCAGCCCTTTTTAAAAATAGGAGCTTAATGTTGAAATTAGTAAATTTGAATAAAACAGATTACCCTTCAAAATATGTATGCCATGCTAACCATCTTTGAAAGATAAGACCGAGGCCCCTTAAAGAAGGGAGACCTGGGCTGGAGAGAAGGCTCAGTGGTTAAGAGCATTGCCTGCTCTTCCAAAGGTCCTGAGTTCAATTCCCAGCAACCACATAGTGGCTCACAACCATCTGTAATGAGGTCTGGTGCCCTCTTCTGGCCTGCAGGCATACACACAGACAGAATATTGTATACATAATAAATAAATACGTATTTTTTAAAAAAAGAAGGGAGACTTGCAGCCTGATGGCCTGCCCTGAAGACTTCAGACTGGCCAGCCCCCGTGTCTGCACAGGCCACTTTGTTAAAGGAAGTCTCTCAGATATGTATGCAGAGGTAGAAAATGTAGGTAGACAGACAGACAGACAGACAGACTGACAAATACTACAGAGATACCCCCTGTCTGCTTCTCTGGAGAAACCTGACTAGTACAGTCACCTCCTTTACAATTATTGGGCACCTAGAGTGGCCCGAGTAGGCAGAGCTGACAATTCCTGCCCTCGAATGAGAAACAGAAGTGACTTTCCACATTCAGCTGAACGTAGCCAGTGCTGTGGTTTCTGCATGCTTTGGGAACTGTTAGTCCACGGCAAGATGTTAGAACGGGTCATCAAGACCTGTGAGGCGAGAATGTTTCCCAAATGATAACGATGCCCAAGTGGGTTTGAGGGATGAATATGAGCTAGCAAATCACGAAGGAGGGGAGCCAGGCCTTCGGGGCTGTATGGAGTGTGGAAACTAGTGATAGCAGTCCCTCAAGAAAAGCCCAAGGGAGCCACGGGTGGGCTGAGCTGAGGGGGGCGGAGAAGAGTAGTCCTGATTAAGCCAGGGCGGGCAGCAAGGACCGCTTTCAGGAAAGGGCTTGGAGATCCCCGAACACTGAAGCTTTTAGCCTATGAACAGGGATCTGTGTTTCAGAAGGGCGCCTCTGAAGCTGAAGTGAGCTGAGGCAGGGGGATGCACGAGAGGACGTGTTCATTCACTCCATGTGTATTGGTGAAGCACCTGCTGCCAGGATGGCTCTCTACTCGGTGGTGAGGAGCCAGAATAGGCAGACACCACAGCTGCGGAGTGCCGCGCGGGAGCTGGGAGGATGCAGCACCAGACATGGATCCCTTAATTAAGAGCGACGAACCCGGAAGAGAGATTGAGCAGAAGCCAGACGTGAGAATAAAATCAGGCAGAAAAAGCCTGGAGTTGTTCGTCGGCCATTGTTGGTTTGGAGGTGAGTTTTTCTCCACAGTCCGGGCAGAAGACCCGCGGTCATCATATTCCAAAGGAAGGAAAGGAAGCCCTCAAATAGACGGTGACACGCAGATGGCTAAGGACGGGGCCCTAGGGGAGGCAGTACTTACAGGGAAACAGAGGATGGAGAAGGGAGAAGAAATGCTCAAACAGGGAAACAGCACAGCGCACCATTATAGAGACAGAAGGAAGGAATCGTCGCCATGGCGGGAGCGCTCAGCTCCGGCTTCTGCGCAGAAAGGGCACGGGAGGCGGAAACAGACAATTGGACTGGAAGTGAAAAGGTCAGAAGAGAACCTGGGAGAACCTAGGGGCTGTTTTAACGTCAGAAAGATTAAGCTGTGACCCATGTGGGTATGCTATAGGGAACGAGCCCTAGAAGAAAGCAGTCTCTACCCTTCAGAGAGCGCCAGTCACGTTTGTCCTTACCTTTCAGGATAGCTGTGGCCGTGGCCGTGCCAGCTTGACAATAGCTCATCAAGAACAAGAGGAAGCCAAGATGAAAGAAGGGCACCGTGTCCAGCTCTGCTCCCAGGCTTGTTTAACGCTTTGGGACCATGCAGCTTGAAATGTCTCTGGAGAGACGGTCCCCAGTTTGCAGAGGAATGCTCTCCAGGAACAGAGGGAGCAGATGCGTTTTCTGGATCTGGACCTAATCACTGAAAACTGAGTAGAATCAGTGTCCCAGAGTTACAGCTGTCAGAGGAAGCCAGCTCCTCGTGTTTAGAAGTGCCGAAGGCTGGGAGGCTCTTTGGCAGGGCTGGTAGGCAGGCAATTCAGTCCTCAGCTAGGGGTGGGATTTGGTGATCTTCAGGCTCCCTCCAAGCTCGGCAGCCTCACACCAGGTTTCTCTGGTCATCTTGAAGGGATACAGAACACATATTCTCAGCAGTCTTGTGGCCAGCTCTACAGTAGACCACCTCCCAAGCCAACCACCCTTTACTAGTGGAAAGAATGGAGATGATCTCTTGCATAGTATAAAATCACGGTGTGGTAAAATTAGGAATTGATTGAGAAGTGGACACAAGCTTTTTCTTTTGTGTCACCAGCTAGCTCCCAAATCATGACAGGGAGACTTACTGTTAGTTTTGAATGCTTGACCTCGTTTAGGCTCATTTCTGGCTAGCTCTTTTAACTTAACCTGTTTCTCTTTATCTACCTTTTGCCTTGGGGCTTATTACCTTTCTTAATTCTGTATATCTTACTTTCACTGCTTCTCTATGTCTGTCTGTCTGGTGGCTGCCTGGCTTCTGGCCCCAGGAGTCTCTCTCTTTCTTCCTTTCTTGAGCCCAGAGTTCGCCTCCTAATTATTCTCTCTGCCTCTCAGCCCCACCTATCCCACTCCTGCCTAGCTATTGGCTATTCAGTTTTAGTAGACCAATCAGATGCCTTAGGCAGGCAAGGTGAAACAGATGCAACACATCTTTACATAATTAAACACACATCCTTACTTCATTAAACAAATGCAGCATAAACAAATGCAACACACCTTTACACAGTTAAAATAATACTACACAACAGAGAAGAGTTATATAAATTACACAGATGCATGAAAACTGGGCAAAAACACTCTTGAATAACAAGAGTCGATGAAGAAATCAGGGAAACATTTAAAAGCTCTTAGAATCCAGTGAAAACAAAAGTACAAAACCTTTGGGATAGAGCCAAGGCAGTTCTCACAGGAAAGCTTCTAGCTAGAGAATCAGAAAGATCTTATAAAAACCAGAATAATCTCAAGTTAATTTCAGTGCAACTCAAGGTCCTACAAAAACAAGAAGAAGCTCAACTCAAAAACAGTGCATAGCAAGAAATAATAAAGGCCAGGGCAAGAAAGGAAATGGGAGGGCCACAGAGATGGCGCAAGGGGCAGAGGCACTTGTTACCAAGCCTGACATCTGAGTTCAGTCCCCAGGACCCTTGTAATAGAAGGAAAGAACACACCCATGCACCACACTGAATAAATGTAATAAAAGTTAAATAGGAAAATAAATCAGATGAACAAACGCAAACAAATCAAAGACAGAGCAGATCTAAGCTAATGAAAACAGAGGTAAAAAGGAAAGATCACTACAGATTCAGTGAGACAGAGATATGATTAGAGAATGTTTATATAACTTTGTTTTTAAAAACCCAGGAAATCTCGTAGAAATGAATAAATTTCTAGACACAGAGGCACCCCTAAAGCTTTGTAAGTAAGGGCAGGTATGTAAACGGACACGCAGCACTCGGTGAGACTGAGATAGTAGTAAGTCTTCTAACAGAGGCTGGAGACTGCTCAGCAGGGAACCTGGCTTCAGCTCTGGCACCTACACGACAGCTCACAACCATCTGGAACCCCAGTTCTGCAAAGCCAGATATGAATATAACAAAAAGCTGTAGACTGATGCCCCTGAGGAACATCGACAATGAATTCTCAATAAAATCTTTGTAAACCAAATTCAAGGCCACGTTAAGATTATACACCATGACCAAATCGGTTTCATTACAAGGATGTAAGTTTGATTCAACACACACAAATCAGTATAAGTGCAATTCAGCACATAAATAGATGTAAGGACAGAAACCACATGACCAGGGCCAGCAAGATGGCTAAGCGGATAAAGGCACCTGCCGCTAAGCATATCCGATAAACACTCTCAGTAAAGAAGCAAAGCCAGTAGCTTTTCTGTATGCCAGTATCAAACTTCCAAGAAAAAAAATAAATCAGGGGAAAAAACCCCACCTCATTTACAATAGCTTCAAAAAGATGCCTAGGAATCTACCAAATCAAGGAGGTGAAAGACTTCTACAGGAACAACTATACATACATTAAAATTTTTTAAAGTTTAAACACTAAAATTAAAAAATTTCCTTATAAAGCTTTTTTCACACATACCCGAACACTCTTCTTATAGGACTTAATAAAATGTTTTATTTGAACTGTTACACAATTTTTTGTTTGTTTTTGAGACCAGGCTGGCCTCGAGCTCACAGAGATCAGAGATCTGCCTGCCTCTGCCTCCTGAGTGTTGAAATTAAAGATATGTGCCACCACTGCCCGCCTACAAATACATTTTTATTATAAACTGATAATTCTTTAGTGTCTTACTTATTTGTGTGCACAGGCTACTGCATGCACGCGTACAGGCCCAAGCTCTCAAACTCTGGAGAGCACAGGACGTTTAGTTTGAATCAGTTCTCGCCTTCTACCATATGAGACCTAGGGATCGAACTCAGATCTTCAGACTTGGCAACAAGCACGTTTATCTCCCTGAGCCACCTGACCAACCTCAGGTTCATCATTGAGGGGCTGAGTCAGGAAGACTGTGAGCTCAAGGCCAGAAAAAGCAACATGGCAAAATTGTTTTTCGGAAGGGAGGGAGAGAGGGAGAAAGGGAAAGAGGGAAAGAAGGGAAGAGAGAGAGTGTTCCCAAATGCAAAAGTTTTTGAAGCTATAACTTATCATTAGCTATTTTTACTATGTGTGTTCAAGTTTTTGAGACAGGATCTCCTGTCCTGCCCCCGTGTGTGTGTGTGTGTGTGTGTGTGTGTGTGTGTGTGTGTGTGTGTGTTGTAAAGACACATGCCAGACTTGAATACAAAATGAGTTTCTGGAATTAGTGTGGCGTCAGAACCCCATGTCAGTCAGCAGGCAATGCAGCCAATCCCTATCCTCTCTGGGAGGCAGTGTCCTCTTTAGTCGGAAGCCTGCCTGAGCCTCTTGCTGGCTCTAGCCAGTGTGGTTCTGTGAGCTTAAGGATGAAAGCAGAGCCCCAGCAAACAGAGATGGCGCCGGCTAACCCAGAGCAGGTTTCAACCCAAACCCTGGGGCCTAGCTGGAGCCACTTTCAGTTCCATTCATCTAGCCCTTCGTGTTTGCACAGCAAAGAACCTGTTGTCTTTAGAGCCTTGATCGTGGGGCTGGGGCCAGGGGAGGCGGGGCCAGGGCAAATATTGGCACTGGCTGCTGAGCTGTGTCTTCTGGCTGTTCTGTGGCCTGGCGCCAGGGGCGGGTCAGCTTGGCCCAGACCCCGGGCCTGGATCTTCCTGGAATATCTTACAGAGAATTGTTTGGGTGGTGGCTATGGCACCCTTCTCCTTTATGAAGGGAAGGACCAATAAACAAGAAAGGAAGCAGCCACCTCCAGCACATGTTCTGTGGCGCCTGCCAGGTTCCACTTTCCCTCCTGGCTGAGAGAGCAGGGTTTCAGGAGGGTGACCGCAGCCTCTGGACGAGGGCCTGAGAACCTGGAACCCCTGGCTCTTGAAAGCTGTGTGGTTTTAAGCAAGCAACTCCATCTCTCTGTGCCTCTGGGCAGTGTGAGCAGCTATACCAGGCCCAGGAGTCGCCGTCGGTGGGGTGGAGACAGAGTGAGAAGGTTGAGATAGGCTGATAGGGGCAGGGTGAAGATGCTCACAGACGCCCTCCACTGATGCTCATGAGAGCCACAGGTCCATCTGGGCACCCCAGTCTTCTACATAAAGCTTTACAAATGTACCTCCTCTCAGTGAGCCTGCGCAGTAGCCTGGGCTGGATCCTTATTCCCCAGCCTTCTTTAAAGTCCTCTTCACATGAAGAAATCCAATGTATTCTTCCTCTGAAAACAAACTGTGGCCTGAAGCCATGACCCCTCTCCAAAGCCAGCCCCAAGGCTGCTCTGCACACTCCAGGTACTAAGCCTACCCCAAGCTCCTCCAGCAGCCAGGTAAAGCCCTGCCCATGCCCTGTCCCTGCCAACACCCACCTGTCCACCCTTCCCTGCCTCCTACTGGGCTGCGTCCTCTCCAAGGCCCTGCTTGGGCCTCTATTTGGATTGGTCAGCCTTCATAGGTCTCCTGAGATGGCACAACAGTGACGGGGTCCACAAATGTCACGCTACCCCATCTGCCCTGTCCTCCACCACGTTCTTCAGCAAGCTGCATTGCTTCTTTCTGACAGGTTTTAATTAATTTATTGTGTGTGGTGCGTGTGTGCATGAGTGTGTATATATATTTGTGTGTGTGTGTGTGTCCATCCGTGAATGCACATATGGAGGCCAGAAGTTGACATGGGGTGTCTTTGTTAATCATTATTTATAATTCCGTTTATTTTATTTTGTGTGAGCTGTGTGGAGGCACACGTCAGCAGAGGACAGGCCCCTGTTTGTCTCACTTTGTTTGTTCTCTCCTTGTGGGGCCTAGGAATCAAACCCAGGTTATCAGGCTTGGCAGCGGGAGCCTTTTCCTGCTGAGCCACCTCACTGTAACTCCACCTTCTTCCTTGAGAAAGGGTCTCCCACTGAACCAGAGTTCATCAGGTCGACTGATGGCCAGGGCATGCCTGTCTCTACACACATCTGTCACCCCACACCTGCCTTGCATGTGACTGCTGAAAACCAAGCCCAGGACATCATGCTTACATAGGAAGCCCTTAGCTCACTACCTCCTAAGACACCAAGAGACAGCTTTTATTTTATTTTATTTTATTTTATTTTATTTTATTTTATTTGGGTTTTCGAGACAGGGTTTCTCTGTGTAGCCATGGCTATCCTCAACCAGACTGGCTTTGAACTCAAAGATTCTGCCTCCTGAGTGTTGGGATTGGAGGCATGTGCCACCACTGTCTGGCAAGAGACAGGTTTTTTTAGATACTCTTAAAGCAGCCCACATTCCTGACTTAATCTCCCCTGTGTCACCCCACCACCTGCGGGATGAACTGAGATACTGTGTATTGATCCAACACTCTACCCACTACTGTGTCTGCCCCCCACCATGGAAAATCTGATGATTCATTTTCGAAGATGCCTTGAGCCAACTGAGGCCCAGCACAAACTGAACAGAAGATGCTGGCCCTCTGCTAATGCCTGCTAGTCTTCATATCCCTACCCAAACTCTGCTAAGTTACCCTACATCCATACTAGAAATTTAGGATAGAAAAATTACTCATAGCCAAGCTTGCCTGCACACATCGGATAAGCCTTAAAATAAACAGGATGTAAAACAGATGAACACGTGCAAGGTTTTGTTGAGAAAAAGACAAATGCAGAGGAGAGAGGGACCGGTGGGAAGGAGGACAGGTGGGACCCGCGATGGTGCCCTCCCGATTAGTCAAGAAAGGGAGGGAGGGTCATACCTTAGGGTTTATAGACGCTCTCTGTACTCACGGGGCAAACCTGCCATTCTGGGCTGATGCCTTACAAGATTATAAACTAAATTGATTTTCTTAGGCTCTTCTGAGTCTTCAGAGCTCTTACTATGAAGTGACGATCTTTTCTTTCCACATATGCCTGTGCTTTGGCCACCCCAGCCTGTTGGACTGTCCATGGTTGAGGAGAACCGTCATAGGGCTCACTTGTGCTAAGCATGGAATGCCCCTCCTCCTGAAGATAGCCCCTACCTTTTGTAGAAGGGTCAAGCTGAGGCTAACCATCCCTGGAGCAGGATCGCTGGGGCCCAGCATTCCCTGCTGTCCCACTCATCCTGTCATGGTGTGACGCAGGCTTCTCACAAGGCCTCACACTGCTCACAGGCTGGGACCCAGGCCTCTTTTCTGGGGGCCCAGCTCCCAGCTTGGATCAGAAATGGCTGAATGAATGCACAAATTAGTGAAAGAATGAATGAATGCCCAGAGCTCACCGGCTTCTTGGGTGCCATCTTCAGTTCAAACCTTGCAAGACACTAGCATAGAGCATCAGTTTTATTAACTTCTAGCAGACTACTTCTGTGTCTTCCAACAGGGGCCTTCCATAGCCAGATCCCAAGTCTCTCTTTCAGGACTAGGACGAGTTACTTTTGATCCCTCAAGCTACCTCCTTTTTTTTTTTTTTTAATGGTTTTTTGAGACAGTGTTTCTCTGTGTAATAGCTCTGGCTGTCCTGAATCTCATTCTGTAGACCAGACTGGCCCCTCGAACTCATAGAGATCCACCCACCTGCCTGTGCCTCCCGAGTACTAGGATTAAAAGCACGCACCACTACCGCCCAGTCAAGCTCCCTCTTTAAGACCCATCCCCTGTGCACAATGTGTGGCTATATTGTCTAACAGTGGGAAAGGCCCTAAGGTTAGAGTTCCACAGACTGACTTTAAGTCCCAGTTCCAGTGTCCATCCTGGGCAAGTCATTCCCTGGGCCTCAATTTCCTTATCTGTCTAATGAGTACATCCATCCTTGCCTGCCTAGGCGCTATGAAGCTAGAAGGAATGCAGGGGGATGGCTTACTCTGGCTTCAGGACCAAAATATAAACCCGCAGGAGAGCGTGGGGTGCAGCGGGGCCAAGGCTGAAGGCACGGATCCCCTCTCCAGGCCTCCCATTCCACAGTCACAAGCCTCCAGGAAACTGGGGAACTAGAAGAATACCATGTACAGTCCCATATAGTCCCATACAGTCGGGGGCTGCTGGTGAGTTGAGCAACATGCTACAGTGGCTTCTGAGCTCCTCAGTGGTTCTGTCTCAGGCACCGAATGGATGGTAAATGTGTGTACTTCATTTTCTATCCATGGGGCTATACACCTCTGCTTGACATTTAAGTCACACATTTGTCTATCTCTCCTAACGGTGATAAGACTGGGACCTTCAGGCCTGCCCTGGAGCCAAGGAGCATAAAATGATGGAGGCAGACTCACCTCATTGTTAGAAGCTGACTAACACGGTAGTGAACTCCTTGTTAGCGGAGGTGCTCAAGTAGAGGCTGAGACACTAGAAACGAGAAAGCTAATTCCTGTTTAGAGACAATGGGGAGATGTCGCTGGATGACGTCAAAGGCTCCTTCCCGCCCTTGTGATCTAGGGTTTGATGCTCTGATGAAAGGGTCCTGGTGCCAGCTTCCACGCTGCAGAGGGAGGCTCTCTCAGGGACCAGAACAGGTGTACTCGTCTGACCAATCAGAGCAGTGCTGCACCTGGTCCCGGCACAGAACCCTGGGGATACAGCTGCAGTACTTGAAGACGGTCGGAGTGCAGCGCCACCAGCCGGGGCCACAAGGCGGACACGTGGTTACTGGGGAGACAAGAGCCAGAGGAAGAAGCTACTGGTCCTGGACTCAGCGTACACTAGGGCACTCTAGCTCCACAACATGCCATAGCTCCTGCAGCCGTAGGCCATCTAGTGCGGGGCGACTGTGTGCCCGGTCTCCCTGCGGCGGAGATTTGAACAGCCACGACTCATAGACTGTGAGACCTGCTCGCCCTGTCAAAGCCTCAGTTTTCATCTGCTCAGTTGTTGAGTAAAAGAAACAAGGCATTAATGAACACGTAGATCCCGCTTCCCCCAGCTCAGCTTCCGGTTTCACCCTGACTCCTGCCTTAGCGACCCCTTGGATGCCCTGGGGCTCCCTCACTCTTCTGTCTTTTGCCCTGTGCCGGTGGCTCAAGCATTCCTCTGCACACACCATCTCTGACTGTTGACCCTGTTCTCCACTTGGGAAGCCTTTTCTGAGAAGTCCGTGGATTCCTCCAGGGCTCTGGCACTTCCTTTTGGCCCCAGCACGATGTGTCCAGAGATATGTCTGGCTCCTGAGTATTCCCTCCCGGAACCTGGCACAGGCCTCCCTCAACAGTGATCAGAACATGTTTGTTGATTTAACACTGGGGCTAGAATGTGTGCGCATGTGTGTACACGCAGACACGTACACACATGGATGGATGCATGTACCTGCATGTGTTCATATATGGTCTACAATGTCTTCCTCAATTGCTCTTCACCTTTTGTCTTTTGAGACAGGGTCTCAAGCCGGCCTTCAACTCCTCAACTCTACAGCCAAAGATGACCTTGCAGTTCTGATCCTCCTGCCTCTGCTCTCAGAGTATTGGCATTATAGAAATGAACCACCGTGTCTCACTTATGTGGTGCTGGGCATCAACCCTGGGCTTCATGCATACTGGCCAGGCGGTCTACCAACTGAGCTGCGTCTTCAGCGCCCTACCTTAAGACTTCCTACTTCCATGTATTTGTTGTGTGCACACATGTACCTGACATGTACACATGTGCTATTCACCAGACCCGTGGTCAGTGCTTCCATTCCAGCACGTGGATCCTAGGGATAGAATTGGGTCCCCATACTGTGCAGCAAGTGCTTTGCAGAGCACCCCCCTGTCCTGGGGAAAGGCTCTAGGGAGGGCTAGGGTACCCCCCTGTCCTGGGGGAAGGCTCTAAGAAGGGCTAGGGCACCCCCCTGTCCTGGGGGAAGGCTCTAAGAAGGGCTAGGGCACCCCCCTGTCCTGGGGGAAGGCTCTAAGGAGGGCTAGGGCACCCCCCTGTCCTGGGGGAAGGCTCTAAGGAGGGCTAGGGCACTCCCCTGTCCTGGCTCCGGACTCGACTCCACATCCCCTTCCTATGGGGGCTGCTCCCTTCTTGAGGCTTGGGATCGCCCAACTATGAATTGGGGCCACGAGTCCTGCCCTGCCCTTCTCACAGGGTTGCTGGGAGGGACCCAGGACAGAAGGCCCGGATCCGAAAATGTAGGGCAGTGTCTGCTCAGTCCCCCTCTGTGCTCCAGTGTCCTGGAAGCAAGCCCCTCCACAGGAGGGTCTCTCATACCCAGCTTCTTTATCCAGAGGAGTCCAAGTGGAAGTGGGAAGCCTCCCAGGATGCAGGCAGAGCATACAGGGGACCTGAAGTGCCCCCCACCTCTGCCCTGCCCTCTGCCCCGCCCACCCGTGCCCAGACCCCCACCTGGGCTCAGTTCGTCTGAGCAGTCCCCACAGTTGTTAACACCATCACATCTCTGGTCCGAGTAGATCCAGGAGGCTGAGTCTCCGCAGTGGGCCAGGAGGAAGCTGGGGAGGCTCCGGGGCACATCTCCTAGAGAGGGGCGAGAGGGGCAAGACACAGTTCACCTCTGACCACAGTACCTCAGCCATGTGCCGTCTGCAGCAGGATCGCTCTATCCAACCAGGCAGGCAGTGCAGCCAGGGTCTCCCCATCCATTCTGGAAAGGGTGCAGCAGACCTTCCAGGAAGAAGGTCAGGTCCAAGGAGTAGAATGTTCTTGCTCTGTGTACCTTCTGCTGGGTGGCAAGAGGCCTGGGGAGCATCTTCATTCCCTGCCTAGCCCTGGTATGTCCCCACCCTCGGTCTTGTGTATGCTCCCACCCTCAGCACCACATGCGCCACCACTGCAGAAGTCCTCCACCTTCAACCCGGGGTCAAGTTCCTTCCCACCAGGAAGCCTTGTCTCATCAGGATGTAGCAGGCTGAACCCAGATTCCTTCCACTGGGCCCCAGAGTTCCAAAGTAGCTTCTACGTCAGGTGATAGTGCACAGAGAGACCCAAATTCTCACAGACCCGGGACAGCCTCATGTAGCGAATGCCCCGGCATAGAAGCTATTAAGGAGGGGCCGGGTAGTCCCTGTTGGGCTTACTGGAGCGGCACTTGGGATAGGAGCTGCAGTGTGGACCAGGTGACCTTTCTGTTATTATTGAGAAAGGCGTCACGTAGCCCAGGTTGGCCTGAAACTTGTGGTATAACCAAGGAGGACCCGAACCAAGGAGGATCCTCCTGCATCCACTTCCTAAGTGGTGAGATTACAGTGTGTACCAGTACTCTTGGATTTGAGCTAAATGATTCTTTAGAGTCCCAACCGCTGCCTCCAGCTCACAGCTTTCTCCCTGCGGCGCGTCTCATTCATGCTTCATGTTTATTCCACACAGCCGGGCTCCTCGCTCCTAAAAGCAGGTGTTTTAAGGCATGGGGCCTTCCAATTCATTCATTCACTTGCTCATTCATCCAGCAAGCCGTTCTGAATACCCTCGTCCCATGAACTGGAACAGATTGCCAGAGGCAGTCACAGCCTGACGGAGGTGGCCAGTGTGATGCCAGTGTGACTAGGGTCAAGGCAGGGAGGCAGGGTCTGTAGGAGCCTAAAGAAGAACTGTTGAGGGGCTGGAGAGATGTCTCAGAGGTTAAGAGCACTGACTGTTCTTCCGGAGGTCCTGAGTTCAATTCCCCGCAACCACATGGTGGCTCACAACCAGATGTAATGAGGTCTGGTGCCCTCTTCTGGCATGCAAGCATACATGGAAGGAATGTTGTATACACAATATATAAATAAATATTAAAAAAAAAAGAATTGTTGACTCCCCCAGCAGGACTCAGGGAAGGCTCCCAGGAAGAGACAGCTTGTGAACTCTGCCTTGAAGGATGGCCACAGAGGCTGAGGAGTGAGAGGACGGTGAATGATCCCTCAGTGTACAGCAGAAGGGCTTGACTAGGCATGGCGACGCAGAAGTGGTGCCTGAGAAAGCTCCACAGGGCTGTAAACAGAGTTAAAGTGGCTGTAGGGGGGATGAACAGGGACACGGAACTGAGGGGGTACTCACGGCACAAGCTTTCATCCTCATCCTCACCGTGGGGACAGGTGCGAACACCATCACACACCCCGTGGGCTGGGATGCAATGCCTTCGGTCATGGCATAAGAAGCCCGTCCTGTTGGTCAACGTCACACAGGAGTGGGTCTCTGTAGGGGCAAGAGAGGCCCTGGAGTGAAGGTGATGCTCACAAAGGCAGCCTTGAGAGGGGCAAGGTGGACCCTGCATACGGTCCCCTAGTGAGCCCTTTTGATCACTGGGAAGGCCTGGCGGGGAGCGGAGAAGCAGACCCTCAACTCCATGGCATCTCTGGGGTTGAAGCTGCTACTCTGCCACTGCCACATCATGGCAGGAACAGGTGACTTGGCCCCCCCCCCGGGTCCATTGTCTACAAAATCAAGGTCAGAGCCTAGCCCCAGGGGTATGTGGAATGTTGGGGACAACATGAGAGTTCTAGACACCGTGGATCGCACAGTGTGCAGAGCAGTTCACTCACTGGTTTGGTCACGCAGGAAGCATTGAGGGCAGTGTGCCATCATTCACGTGGCCTTAATGGTGGATCTCCTGGAACCAGTTTAGCTTGTTGCAAATTGTATGTCTGTGCTGACTGGGGACAAAATGTCACAATCCCTTGCATCTGGGTATACCTTAAAGAGTCTGCAAACTTCCGTACTCTTACTGTTCCTCCAAGTACTCCTGAGAAGAGGTATGCCTAAACCCTACCAGAAGAGAAACACTCACCCCTAGAGGCAGCCCCAAGATTTAAAGGAGAAACTAGGGAGATGGAAGCCATAGCCTGTGCCTCTGGGCACATGTGTAAGTGAGGGAGGAGAAGCTGCAGGCCCGTCGGTGTGTTTGTGCCAGTATGAGTCACGTCCTAGTTCTCAGAGCTACCTCAGCCAGTCACAGGAGGCACCCTTAGGACACACGCTCACAGATGCAGACGGGAAAATGGACACATATCTGCACTTCGTGCACATGCATAAAGACAACAGATGCACACACAGACAGGCACACATGCACTGACACACATGCACACAGATACAGTGACATGCACACCAACATGCACATAGGTAGGCAGGCACCTGTACACACATGGGTGTTGTGGAATATTCACTGAAGGTGTCACACTTGTCTGTGCTGTGGAACATTTGTTTAATAATGCAAAGATGTGTTGTGTTCTTTTATGTTGCATCTGTTTAATTCTGTGAGGCTGTTGTTACTTTACTTGTCTAAAATACCTGATTGGTCTGATAAAGAGCTGACCAGCCAACAGTTAGGCAGGAGAGAGAAATAGGTGGGGCTGCCAGGCAGAGACAATAAATAGAAGGAGGAAGAAGAGGGAGGAATAGGAAAGGAGAGAGGATGCCAGGGGCCAGCCATCTAGCCACACAGCCAGCTATGGAGTAAGAATTAAAGAAAGGAATATAGAATAGGGAAATGTAAAAGCCCAGAGGCAAAAGGTAGACAGGATAATTTAAGAAAAGCTAGCTAGGGGCTGGAGAGATGGCTCAGAGGTTAAGAACACTGACTGTTCTTCCAGAGGTCCTGAGTTCAATTCCCAGCAACCACAAGGTGGCTCACAACCAATCTGTAATGAAATCTGGTGCCCTCTTCTGGTCTGCGGGCATACATGCAGACAGAACACAGCAAACAAAATAAATAATAAATCTTTTTAAAAAAAGAAAAGAAAAGAAAAGAAAAGCTGGCTAGAAACAAGCCCAGCTAAGGCCGGGCATTCATAGAGAAGAATAAGTCTCCACACATTGGACTGAGCTCCCAAAGTCCAGTTGAAAAATGGGAGGAGTGAGAATATGAGCAAAGTGGTCAAGACCATGGAGGGGGACACCCACTGAAAGTTTACCTGAGCTAATGGGAGCTCACCAACTCCAGCCAGACTGGGAAGGAACAAGCATAGAACCAAACTAGTCCCTCTGAATGTGGTTGACAGTTGCATGGCTGGGGCAGACTGAAGGGCCATTGGAATTGGCACCAGGATTTGTCCCCACTGCTTGTACTGGCTTTTTGGGAACCTGTTCTCTTTGGATGGTTCAGCCTAGATATAGTAGGGAGGGCCTTGAACCTTCCCCAAAGCAATGTGCCTTACGCTCTCTGAGGAGTGGATGGGGGTAGGGTGGGAGGGTAAGTGGAGGGAATGGGAGTGGTAGCTTGGATTGGGTATGTATAATGAAAAAGAGATAGTTTGTTTTCTTCTTTAAAACAAACAGATAAATAAAAAGAAAGAAAAATATCACCTAAAAAAAAAAAGGAATAAGTTTCCATGTATTTGGGAGCTGGATGGTGGGCCCCCCAAAGAGTAAAGAGTCAAAAAAACAAAAAACCCAACAACATATGGGCATTTACACACACACACACACACACACACACACACACACACAAGCAGACAGACATCTGCGTGCGCACGGACACTCACACATACACACAAGCAGGCAGGAACCTGCACACACATCAGCCTGCCCTTGGGCAATCGCACACACATACACAGTCAGGCATCTGCATGCACACAGGCACCGATGCACATAAACTCGCACACATGCACACCCAGGCCCATGGCTGCAGCTCCCCCTTCTGCACTGTCATGTGGAATGCTGGGATTTTACTTTTCCTCGTCATCCCTTGCAGTGGCCCTGCCTGGCGATGGAGCCATATCTCAGAAAGCAAGGAAGAAGGGTGGGACAGTCCCTTCTCTTGGCTCCTGGAACGTGGCCACCCTCCCAAGTGCAGTTTTTAAGGTCCTGGGTACCTGACCCCACCCACTCACGTCCACTGTCCTCTTGTCTTTCCTTCTCCTTAGCTTCTTACCCCAGGACCTCCACACATGCTGTTCCCTAGGCCTGGGATGCTGTTCCTGACACCCTCTTCTAAACAAGCTCCATTTCCCTTCCCACCTCAGGTCTCTTTCACTCCCCACGGTGCTTCCCACCCTAAGTCTCACGCTGATTGGATGAGAGCCTTGGTTCCAGACTCCTGATCCCCCAGTAGGCCTGCCTTTGAGTGTTTATTGGATCAAGCCCATATGGTTCTCTAAACTGGTCCCTGAGGGCGGGGGTTGCATTGGTGGTTCACCACTGCAGCCAGACTGCAGGAAAGTTCTGGACACAACCTGGTCTGTGGCTGAGAGCACCACCCAGGGCGGTCAGACGAGGGGAATGGGAAGTGCACCAGCTGTGGGAGCTGACAAAGCCTCCAGCCCAGCTCAGGGGTCAAAGAGAGTCAGGATCTCTCAGTAGTGCATGTGGGGTCTGGAGAGATGGCTTGGTGCTTAAAAGCACTTGTTAAAGCTCTTCCAGAGGACCTAGGTTCAATTCCCAGCACCCACCTGGAGGTTCACAACCATCTGTTAACTACAGTTCCAGGAGGCCTGATAATCATCTTCTGTCCTTCCTGGGCACCAGGCACACATGTGGTGTACAGACAGATATGCAGGCAGAACACCCATATACATAAAAATAAATTTTAGCCGGGCGGTGGTGGCGCATGCCTTTAATCCCAGCACTAGGGAGGCAGAGGCAGGCGGATCTCTGGGAGTTCCAGGACAGGCACCAAAAACTACAGAAAAATCCTGTCTTGAAAATAAAAAAAAAATTTAGAAATTATAAATAAAAGCCAGCAGTGGTGGCGTACACCTTTAATCCCAGAACTCGGGAGGCAGAGGCAGACAGAGCTCTGTGAGTTAGAGGCCTGTAAGTTTGAGGCCAGCCTGGTCTACAGAGTGAGTTCCAGGACAGCCAGGGCCGTTACACAGAGAGACCTTGTCTTGAAAAACAATAAATAAATAAATAAATAAATAAATAAATAAATGGGAAATCTTGAAATGATGCAGGTCAAGGATGTATGAAAGGCCTCTCAGCTTCGTGTCCACACATGCACAGGTATCTATCTCTCTTTGCACCTTAAGGGGTCACTGGAGCCACTTCAGGAAGAAGCCCGGCTGGACTAGGGCTTCCAGCTCCCTGAGCCTCCATGCCTCCCTCTTGCCACCCTGACCTGGTCCGTGGGGTGGACGTCCAAGGATGGTGGCCACAACGAGCAAGGCAGCAAGCATGGCCGTCAATAGCAGCAGGAAGGCCGAGAGGCAGGCCCCACGATGAGAGCAGCAGAAGGGGCCACAGCCTGTGGAGGGAAAGACAGTGAAGAGGCAGAGGGGTCCCCTCAGGACCGCCCCCCCAGGACCACACCCAGCCCTGCAGGAAGCCCTCCCTCATCAGGAAGCATTAGGGCTAGAGAAAGCACTCCTAAGCCCTCCGTGACACTCTGGTCCAGCCTGCCCTCCACCATCATTAAGTGCCATCAGTGGCTAGCCTCTGCTCCACGGAGGCTGTCTCCCCTTCCCATCCTTCCTTGTCTATCCTCATGACCAGGGAGATAGGACAGTAGACATCTATGCGCCCAGTCTGTCCCACGAGAGAAATGACCACAGCTTCATCACAGCCGTTATTTCTATTTACATGGAAGTCCTTTATTTCTGTGGATGACAAATCGGGGCTCAAAGAAGCAAAGGCCCCAGCCACCCTGTGCTGGACTAAGGCATGATACCCGTCTGATGCTCAAACCTAGACCTTATCCACAATTCCAACCTAAAATCTGTCCTAATGCTGTCCAGAATGCTACCTGGAGTCCAGTTCGAGCTCCATCAGGTCCTAGCTGGGCCACACAAGTGAGATGCCTCACTTCCCTGTGCCTCAGTAGTACCATGATGGTCTCTGTAGTTTGCTGGTTTGTTGAATGCTTACCCTAAAACAACAGATGCCATTGTGCACCTGCCATGTGCCAAGTTCTTGTCAAGGCACTGTAGAAACAGCAGAAATGGGAGTAGCTGACAGATGTCCCCACACTCTAGAACTGTGCTTGGTCCCCCTAATTCCTTTTTGTTTTGTTTTGTGAGACAAAGTCTCACTATATAGCTCTGGCTGTCCTGTAACTCACTATGTAAACCAGGCTGGCCTCAAACTCAGAGAGATCTGCCTGCCTTTACCTACCAAGTGTTGGAATTAATGGCATCAAACATTATGTCTGGCTTAACTCCCCTAATTCTTGCTTGTTTATGAAAACGAAGCAAAGCAGCTTTATCAGGGACCTCCTGGATGCCTTGCTCTGTAGAAGGCATGAGAGTAGCTTCCCTTGCCTTCACAGCTACACTTGGAGAGTCAGACATCATAGGAAGGACGGTGGAGCTGGTCCATAGCTCTCCCTGATCCCGTGTGTGTGTACAAACCAGAGATACAGAAGACAAGGGCAGGATTCTGATTTGGGTCATTTAATTCACACCACTCGTGTTTCCAGTCACCTGACTGCGGTGTCACATGCCAGGCTGGCTGGGGAAGTGTGGACCAGGCTCTGAGGAGCTTCAGCTGACTTATAAGGTGGGGCAGGGCAGAGGCCTCCCAGAGAGAGCAGGCTTTCCAGGCAGAGGGGGTGGGAGGAGAGGCTGGTGGGTGGCTAGTGAAGATGGAGGCAGGAGGGTGTGTGTGTGCTGGTCAAGGAGAGAGCAGCAGGCTGACAGGAAGCACACTGGACCTCAGAACCTATAATCCTACAGCTCTAGCTGGTTGCTTCTTTGTGGCCAACAAACACAGGGTAAACTTGGGTTACCAGGGAGATTGTGTTTAAACTGGGCAGGAGAGGCTTCTGTCCAGCCAAGCGGCTGCTCCTCAAATATTTGTGCAGTATACACTGTGTGCAAGGTGGGTTTGCAGGCAAGACTGGAACGGCAAGCAGAGCTCTTGACTAGGCGGAGATGCCCACTTTAAAGCCAGAAATTCCTTAGCTGCTGCCCACCCGAGCAAAGGAAGAAAAGTCACAACTACTGCCAGCCGCACCGAATGACAACGTGGAAAAAGCCACCAGCATGGAGCACGGAAGGTCCTGAGGCTTAGCCGCCTCCTTTTCAATGCTGTATTAGCTTGGCCTGATTACCTAACCTCTCTTAGCTTCAGCTACCTCTAGTACCTGACTCACCCGGGGCTGTCCTGAAACCAAGGTCTGCGATTCCAGGCAACCAAGGCAGCTCCTTCAGAACCATTCTTGGCATCTACCCTCTTCCTCCTTGCTCAACGGAGGGCCAACATGGTGCCCAGGGAGACATTCCGTATGTTTGTACTCCTTCCTTATCTCATGAAGGTCCTGGCCACACAGGAATAGGGGAACCATAATAGGTACAACTGCGTGGTGCTCACCTACTCTATCCTAAGATCAACAGAGGCACCCGGATCAAGCATGGGGTCCAGAAGTGGATTTGGAAGTCTTTGGTGTTACAGACTCAGTGTGGTGGCCTAGGAGGTAAAAGGCACATGGTACCCACTCAGAAAATGCTGGTAGCTGGAGAGAATGAACAGTTCTGTCCAGCAAGTGGCTGTCCGTATGGCTGGGCAGACAGCATCACCATCTACACTGGGATGGGTGCCGTAGTAGTAGCAGCCTTGGACTCCTTCTGTACCAGCTTCAGGGGAGGGAGTTCCTGGGGCGGACCTGCAGCACTCAGCCTGACTTCCACCTCTGTTCTTACCTTCCCCTCCAGGGCGGCCTTTCCCTCCAGCAGCAGAGTTGATCTCAGCATCTCCCTGCCCAAGAGATCAGAAGCAGACTGGGCAAACCGCGGGTCCCCACAGCCCAGACTCACCCTGCCTCTTCATGTTTCCACACTTTTCACCTGAGCAGTGGGCGACTTCTACCCAGTACCTGCTCCTCTTTGTTCTATTGACTCTGGCAGGTCCTCCTACGGACAATGCCCGAAACCCCTGGGCTTCTGCCTACCTATTAGCACTCTTGACTCTCACTGGGAGTGAATCCCCAGGGCAGGTGAATGTGGCCATAGGTCCTTGGGCACCCTCTTCCCAGAGCCCTTTCCACCCCAAGGCTGGTCCCTAGGTCAGGAACCAGTTCAGGCTCCGGTAGCTTTTACCTGGGGGAAGATCTTGTTCGAGGCTCCAACACTCATGTTCAGGAACCGGGGTAAAGAAAGCTCAGTATAGGTCCTCGGGCTGGTCACCAAGGGCAGCTGGGGGGAGGGAGGGACAGCAAAAGGCTTTGCCAAAGCTGTTCCCTCCTCTGTGACACTCCCCTCCCAGGCTGTCCCCAGTGGTGAAGGAAAGGGCAGGGGTGCCCTCTCCTACCAAGCCTTTCCCGGGGTTGTGGTTGGATAGTGATACCCTGGGGTTGGAATCCTCACCCCATCCCACAGATGACAAACTGGTGTTTCCGAAAGGGAGAGAGGGCTTGGTGCCTCATTCACACTGTGAGTGGAGGAAATGAGCCGGGCCTTAGCACACTATTCACGTCGGCATCAACAGAGTGCACGATTGTAAGCCGTAGGAAGCCATGGGCAGAAGTGTCAGGAGTCTTGGCCAAGTTCCTTTTCTCACTGATGGGCTGTTCAATAAGCAGGTGACCTAGATCAGAAGGGTACACACTTCTGAGGGCCAGCAGGACGGCTGGGCCGGTACAGGTGCTTGCCATGCAAGCCTGACAACATTAGTTCAAGTCCCAGAATGAACGTGAGGGTGCAAGGAGAGAACTGACCCCACAGTTGTCCCGACCTCTACACATGCGCTAAGCACACCCACCCACGGACACATTCATAAACATAAGAGTGTTCATTTCCCACTAAAACTAACATGTAAATAGAGTCTTGCTAAAAGTATGCAGACATGCATTTTTAACTTTTGGGATGTTCATGTCCGGGTGGGAGTTAGCTGCTTTCTAGACTGTCTTCCTTCACAGCAGGGAGCAGATTCCTTAGCGATGTAGTCCACAGAGGAGACTGAGGCCTGGAAGCAGAAGGGACTGCCGAGGCCCACCCCAGGAGTTCCCATCAGGGATTCCCCGCTGGGCCATTCTCTCAGTGGGAAATAAATGCTAAAGCTAACGTAGATCAGGGAGCCAGGGGGCTGGGAAACTAAGCCTGGGTTCTCCCAAGGGCCTTACCAAGGGCCGGGGAAAGTCCCTTCCCTCACACCCACGAAGATGCAGGGGTGCTCGAGTGTAGGGTCCTCAGAGTTGGCCTTCTGACAAAACAGAGGGCGATGTGTTTCAGCGGGAAGGACCCGTGCTGGCGCAGGGTGGGGGAAGATGAAAGGGAGGCTCCATTCACTGTTGTGGGGCCGGCACCTGGATTCCGTGAGGTTCAGGGACACTGGTGAACTGGGACACTTGGCCCATCCTGCCAGCCATTGACTGAGCTACTGGCAACTGTTGATCCCTCGCTCCACTGGCCTGTGGTAGGCAAAGGGAGGCCAATGGCAGTTGTAAGGTAGGCTGCTAAGCTATGAAAGGGAAGGGTTTTCTGAGCACTTACTTCACCACCCGCCGTGCGGCATGCTTTCTGTAAGTTAACCCAGCTCGTCTTCTCCGTCTCCATTTTCCAGATGAGGAAACTGAGGTCTAGCGGCATTATGTGCAAGGCGCTGATCTGAAAGGGCAGAGCCAGGATTGCAAGCCACGGGCCCGCGTCATGTCAGCCCACAGCCGGGATCGTGGTAGCCATACCCACTGCTGGTCCTGTTATACATGTCATGAGGATTTTCTTCTCTGGTGGGTAGCTTGTTCATGCAGGCTCCTCACTTTTTAATAAGTGCTCTTTTTTTTCCCTTATTGATTTATAGGCTTTTCTGTTTTGTGGGAACATATTAGGGCTCCACCACACATGATCACAGCATCACTTGACAACGGCACAATTACTCAGGATAAAAAGGCAGGTTCTGCCATAGCTGGGGCTCAGAGGCAGTAGAGTGCACCCTTACCCTAGGTGGGCCCCTTCTTCCCATAGTTGAGGTGCAGGCTGTTGGGATGGGCGGGTGGCCTGCCTGGAATGTGACTCAAGCATGTTGAGTCCAAGATGGCCAGTAGGATAGGAAGCCCCGCCTTACCCCAGGACAAGCAGCCTATCTCAGTTACCTGGTCCCATGGAGGCTGGACCCTAGGGCCAGATCACAGACATCGTAGAAATGCTTGCAGAAGACCTCCACACTGTTGCTATTGGACTCTGGGAGGTCAGGAGGTGGACATGGATGTCCATGGTGCTGCAGAGGTAGGGTAGAGGCCAGTGTAGAGCTAGCAGACAGATGATTTCGAAGCTCTGTAATGATATTCTCAGAACCTCTGTGAATCTGCTAGGTCTATGGCAACTGGACAGCTACTGCTCTGGCTGTGGATTCCGCCACCACTCCCCTCCCTTTTTATGACGTGTGTGTGTGAATGCCACACTTGTGCAGAGTCCAGAAAAGAGCTGTGATCCCCCTGGAGTTATAGGTTGCCATGAGATGCCTGGCATGGGTACTGGGAACTGAAGGCCCTCTGCAAGAGCAGCAAGTACTCTTAACCAGTGACCATCATCTCCAGCTCCTTGTTTCTTTCTTTAAAAAAAGTTATTGGTGTGTATGAGTGTTCTGTCTGCATGTATGTTTGCCTTTGTACCATGTGTGTGCCTGGTACCTGCAAAGGCAAGAAGAGGGTTTCCTTTTTTAAGAGGGGGGGGACTCACCTTGAACTTATAGTAATCCACCTGCCTCAGCTCCCTTACGGTAAAGTAACAGACATGAGCCACCAACCCTGATCTGAGCAGCCTGTCATATGGGCTGTAAACCCTGCTGCTAGCCTATGACTAGTCACTTGTTTGAGGGATTCTACAGGTTCCCCCTACCTTTTTAAATCTGTCTCCCTTCCTGAAGCCTTTGTTGGCACTCTTCCTTCTGATCTTACTTTTCCTAGCATTCCTTAGCTTCTGTCCACAGCTTGCTGAAGGCAGGAGAGACCCACTGGACATAGGATACCCGGCTTGCATCAGACAGACCTGGTTTTCCTTCTGACTAACAAGGTACTAAGGAGACAGGTAGTAATCTCCCCAAGCCTCAGTTGTTGCATCGGGAGAATGGGGTAAGAACAAGAGTTGTGGGGGGATGAGTAAGTCCACCCTCTGTGTTCTGAGTGTCTCCATCTGCTTCCAGTCACAGAGACATTCTTGAGAGCTGGGGCGTAGCAATGGAAGCATCTAAACTAAATGGGCAGCCCAACTACAGAGGCCAGGAGCCGGGGAGAACGGTATCTAGCTGTCTATCTCAGCATTCATCGCTCCCCAGGATCCTGCCTTCCACACCTTGGGACTGTAGCAGTTCATCTCCACCGAGACTGCACCAAGATGGAGAGGGTCGTCCATCTGCTTTCCTTACAGGAATGTCAGGATTCCTCAGACAAAGAGCTCAGCTAGGAGAGCGTTATAGTTCTGTAGGTACATAGAAGACTGCTATGAGGGTGTCAACAAACAAACCCCCCAGTGAATCACCTAATTACATACTTGATTAATTCAGGTATTAAAGTCCACCCGCCTGAGCATTATGAACTCAAGCGACATGGCGCTCCAGGGAGTGACGAGGTGCACCTACGGTGACGCACCTACAGGGAGAGTGACGCGGTGCTCCAGGGAGAAGGGAGAGTGACATGGTGCTCCTACAGGGAGAGTGACGCGGTGCTCCTACAGGGAGAGTGTGGTGCTCCTACAGGGAGAGTGAGCGGTGCTCCAGGGAGAAGGGACAGTGACACGGTGCACCTACAGGGAGAGTGACCTGGTGCACCTACAGGGAGCATCACCATGAGCTTCTGTTCAGATCTTTCCTTTCCAGCCAGGTGCTGACTCCTTTCTACTCAAGTCCTCATTTACTGCTAACCCTGCAAACAGTCCAGGTCCAGAGAGCACACACAGAAGCAAGAAGTCGATCCAACAACCTGAACTGAACAAGCAAACAGAAACAACTTATCTTAACATGTCAAAGAAAACTCAGACAACCAGAGGTTAGGTGAATGTGGCTAGGGAAAAAGTTAACTCAGTGGTCACTGGATTTTAACTGAAGACCAGCAGGCCTGTGACATCATCACCAGCAGAGCCCACACTGCTGTAGATGCTTTAAACATGACTTTAAAAAATGCTTTGGGCGGGCAATGGTGGCGCACGCCTTTAATCCCAGCACTCGGGAGGCAGAGGCAGGCGGATCTCTGTGAGTTCGAGACCAGCCTGGTCTACAAGAGCTAGTTCCAGGACAGGCTCCAAAGCCACAGAGAAACCCTGTCTCGAAAAACCAAAAAAAAAAAAAAAAAAAAAAAAAAAAAAGCTTTGGATGTTGTTTTGTGTGAACAAAAGCATATACATTACTACATCTAAGTCTTGAAAATATTTTGATAAGCATTTAATTTTAAGTTTCCTTGCAATCCTTCATATTTAGCTTTACGCATTTGAAAACTCAATTCTGAGAAGGGTTTCCATAGTCTTCCTAAGATCTCCAAAAATGTCTGTGGCACAGAGAAAGGTTAAGAATTCCTGTTCTAGAGGACTGAGCAGAAAGGACCTGAGTTTGGATCCCTGGCACCTACATAAAAAGTAGGGCATGGTGCCTACGATAGGCCTGCAATTCCAGTGGGGGGAGGCAGCAAAGAAGCGGGAGGATTTCGGGGGCTCGGCCAGCCAGTTTAGACACAAAGCTGTACTCCAGCTCCAGTGAGACCCTGTGTAAAAACTAAGATGGACCGCAATAGAGGACACTGATGTTGACCTCCGCCTCCCACTCATGGATTATACCATTATACCGGGAAGTTCACCTATGCATGCATTTGCAAAACAACAACAACAACAACAAAAAAAACCCTGTTCTAAACGAGTCAGTCACTAAGAGCACAGGCAGGGCACTTAGCAGAGAAACACATGAAAATAGCTTTGATAATTAGGAATTTCAAGTAAGGTAGGAACCGTGCCCCAGAAGTCACAATTATACAATGTCAAAAGCCATACTAACTGTACAAGTCAGGTTTCCACAGAAGACAACACAGTTCCCAGTGTCTCAGCCTTTATTGCAGGCCACACCTCAGCTCCAGGCTAATGTAGAACAAATAGTCAAGGAAAGATTAAAAAGGTAATTGGAGCTGATGGTACTCAAACAGGACAACAGGACACTTAGCAACAGGAAGCCTGGCGGAGGGACAGCTGAGGGCAACCTGCCCTGTGGCTGTGGAACCGAAGACAGTGGTAAAACAGACTGGAAATGTGGCTTGAAAACTCAGCTCAACAGCCAACCGTTCTATGGCTGGGATCTGTGTTGCAGTCTTTTGTTTGTTTGGCACCACTAGAGCAGTGGTTCTCACTCTTCCTAATACTGCGACCCTCCCGTAATTTTGTTACTATTAAGAATCGTAATGTAAATATCTGATATGCAGGATATCTGATATTTGACTCCCAAGGGGGTCTTGACCCACAGGTTAAGAATCACTGACTTAGATTGTGACCATGGTGTAGGGTCCTAGACTTCGAACACCACTCAGGGGAAGAATGGCTAAGTAAAGAAACTGGATTGTAGGCCACTTGATAATAAGTATAGAATAAGGTGTACACCCAGAGGCCAGGCAGGAAGATCTGGTTCAAAACTAGACTGAGCTACACAGTGAGACCTCTTCAGAAGACCAAGGGCTAGCCTGGCGCTCTGTGGTAGAACTGATACCTGATATGAGAAAGGCCTTGGGTTTGGTCTACAGTACAAACCAACATGGGGCTAAGATATGGCTGCCTCTGCATTTGCTCCCATTCCCCAGGCAACTCCACACAGCTGTCTATGAGTCATTCTGTGAACCATTCGACACTGAGACCCTGTGGTTTAGCTCCTTTGCGATGACTCTCCACCGTGCTTGGGATGGAGGCTTAAGGAGGTTTTTATTACTCAAAGCTATGCCATGCATGAACAACCTGCAGTCCCTGACTTCTTGTCTCCCAGCTGAAGCTTATCGTA